TCGTTTCGTCGCTCTGCCATGCAAGACCCGGCAACAAATTATACTTTCTCAAGTGTTGCACAGCATGCGACAAAGTTGAATCTCGTCGTTTCGGTTGCACCGAACGAAGTTGCATTCTACAGATATGATTTGATAAGGAAAGAACGACGAATCCTCTCGTGCCTGATAATAACTACAGATGAAACAAAGAATATCTTGAAAGATACTTCAAGTTTTCTTCCATTATATTGGCATATTTCAAAATTAATTGCATCATTAAATATCATAAAATACTTTAAATATATAAATAATAATACTTTATATAAATAATACTTTAAATATATAATAGTCACATACATATATAAATAATACTTTAAATATATAATAGTCATATACATATATAAATAATACTTTAAATAAATAAATAATACATATATAAATAATACTTTAAATATATAATAGTCACAATCGATAATGTAACTAATTTTGAAATATACCAATAAAAAAGAATTTGTTATGGTAACAAAATATTTTTTTATCCTACTTTAAGTTGTAATATTTCTATTACGGTTTATATTTTTGCTACAAAATAATATAAGCATTTTTCTCTGATATTCTGTGATAAATGATAGTTGCTTTTTTAATAACGAGTATTATTATTTTTCTAATTCAAAATTATTAAATATTATAAAACAAACGTTTCAATAACATTAATTTGTTCTTTCTAAAATTCTATGACAAATAGAATTTGGCACATGAAAGTTTGATGGATTTATTTGCTTAAAAAATTTGAAACCACAAAATCAGTCAATAACTGTATGTTCCATTTTCTTTGGCAGATCGATTCTCAGTCGAAAACGCGAACTCTTGCAATGCAACAATTAAACAATTAAACAAATTAAATTTAACAGACAAACGAGTAAACGATTGAATAATCGCTTCGAAAGACGTCGGATAGCTTTCGATGGCTCGATGAAATAATAGCAACCGCTAGTGTTGATTTGTTGTTAAATTTTTCCTTCCTTTTTTTCGCTTCCTCGCGCTTACGGAACACGTTCGCAATTAGCTCTGCCGATAGCAAGTGTCTTCGACGCTTTCGCGGCCGCGTATGAGTTACGTAAATTGAAATTTACCATTTAGAGCTGCTTGTTCTATTTACGATACGTCGCACGTGCCGTATCGAGCTCGAGCCAGACACCGAGGCAAAAAGAAACCGAAGGAAATAATGCAAGAAAACCACCGTGTATTCACAACCGTTGGAACTAGGATAAGATGATACATCGTTTCGCAACGGAGGATTGTCTTCGTGTATTCGACGGACAAACGCTTGGGGGAAAAACAATGGAACAGAGAGTGGAAGTTATAAGGAGAAGGTTTTAGTTGGAAAATGCTGTGAATCGAAATGGCGCAGTGGCATAACCATTTCTGGTAGTCGAAACTGTGAGCGAGATCGATCTCGCTACAACC